GTGGACGGGGGGAGCGGGGTAGCCCCACTCGCGCGGGGTGCGTTCCGACTATTGATAGCGTTTGTTTTGTTTTCCTTGCTTGCTTCCTTTTTTTTCGTTTTCCTGGTATATGGGCTGTCTCGAACCGATTCTTAAGGTTTCGTGGTAATTTCCGTCCCTTCTGTGCATGCATAATTTTTACCAATTTTTTCCTGCTTCATAGGTTTTCAATCGTGTTGAGAACATTCTTAATAAGCGCATTCCATTCAAAGAACGCTACATCTACCGTAGGTAGCCCCTAGCTTGTAAGCTACTTTTTACTAACTTTACGGACTTTTCCCGTTTCGGTCTATTCTGGAATCCGATTAGCAATTTTCATCCTTAGCATTGCTCATTTCGGCGCGTGCCTTGACCCGGCCCGTAGGTGATTCCCCAGGCAGTGCCCAATTCCGTGACAAACAGGCAAACAGACATATGAGTAGGCCGATTACATTCACACAAGGATAGGTGCAGTACTCGGTACTAGAAAAAAATTTAGAAGCACTGATAATGAGCGATGAATGACCTCTTGTTTGTCCGCCGCGTTCTAATGTTTGTGGGCGGTAGTGAAAAGATCATTGTGAGGTGTGATTGGTACTCGAGTCACCAGTGGACGTACAACCACATACTCGCTCGCTGGCATCAAAAAGTTTTTGGCAGGAGAAGAGGAAGGCAGTCACCAAAAACAATTAGGGAGGGCTTTGAAGTTTAACATATAGTAAAGAAGTGTTCTAAAATTAAAGGAGGGGAAGAAAATGTACGTGTACCTGGATAATCAATTCGTTAGAAATCCAAAAAAGTGCATCTGTAACTATAAGTGGTCTGGATTCACCACTCATATACATATAGTCATATTAATACTCGTGTTGTCGCTTCGCGAATGATGTCCTCCGTGGACGAAAATAAGGAGTTTTCAGGACGGCTGGTTGCTATGCTCCTCATGTGAGAAGGCATCGTTCGACAGAATAGCTAATCTACGTGTTCATTGGGCCTGTTGCGTCAATGTTTGTGGGCGATATCGCAAAGATCTCCGTGAAGGAAGATCGGTACTTGAGTCGCCTTCCACGGTTGGAAACTTCCTAAGCGCGAGGAAAACATGAAGCGTTTACGTTCTTTTCTGTGAATCTTTCTTTTGTTCACTGGAAATTCATGTAAGATTTTACGCGTGTAGATGATTTATAGCACAACTTACGGAATTGTTTTTTGTCGGCTCCATTTATCACATAGCTCACATGATATTTCATTGTGAACTACTTCCATAAGTCATGAATTCAATTATATTCACTATTCTAGGATAAAGTGCCCTCTGCCGACTTGTGTCTCTGCGTGGCGTCCAAGCTTCAAGTATCCAAATGCCGTCACTCAAATTGCTCACATGATATCCCATCATGCTACAGATAAAGAAGCTTACGACATTGCATTGAAACTTGGGTATAGTAGTTTCGTGGGACTTTTTTTGCACAAAGAAAGGATAGGACTCATATTTCAGAGAAACGGAAAGACTTGCGGAGGAATTCCCTTTTCTGGATGTAAAAGTGTTTGGCAATTCGCTACTAGCACTGAGGTTATGCCTTCAGTGCGTAGTAAATGCGATCGTGGGTTTCATTCTCCTTACGAGCTGGAACAGCATGCGAAGCGGTATCATCCAACGGAAAAGCATTACTCGTAAGTTCTATAATTCAGCTTTTTCCTTTTGAATCTTCTCATAACTGCTGTTCCAAGAATTTCCTGGCGCGGCATCATCCCACAGAAAAGCATTAGTCTTGAGTTCTATGATAATGTCATCTTTCTCCTCCCGAATCCATCTTCATGATTGCTGTTCTAAGCATTTACTAGCGCTTATACTGGAGAACAGTTATATATTAACGTGACGGCGCGATGCAACGCAAGTCGCTGCACCTTCGATACGGTGGCCTTGCGTCAGCGTATGCGTTCACACTTGATCGTTTATTTTTAGTATGCCGTTTATGGTTTCCTGATTTTGCATTTACTTTTTAGATCTCATTACACAACGTGACCAAAACGTGTGGTTGACCGAAAGGTTTACTATTCTTTACTTTAGCAAAGTTTTTCTAACTTTTACATGTTCTTCAGTTTGGTTCATTCCCCATTTCCTTTGTATTCTCTTGAAAATAAATACAAAAAAGAGCAGCAGAAGAATGTACAGTTCTCTACGTATTGCATGATATATACTTCCAGTGAAGCAACTGCTTTTAAAATAATTCTGAGGTTCATTACAGCAAAAACAACCTAAACTTGCCTTTTCATTGCCTTTTCATATCGATCAAACTTCAATTGTCGTTTCGATAAGTTTACCTGATCGAATATTATTTAAAACATTTCATCGCATCCAAGCTTGCGTATTTACAGCTCAAAATTCATGGATTTGATGTGAGGCGGCGGCGCCTGCAAAATCGCTCTGGTCCCACGCGGCGCAAAAACCCAAAACGCGCGTTGTCGTCAACGTGTTAAAGGCAGCATTTGGCTCTTCAAACCGGCCGAGAGATTTCTTATTGTCTTCGATAATATATCATATTATCTTCCTTTGGACATGTGCTTAGGTAGAATTTTCCCTTAATATAACCAAGAATGAGCATTTGCGATGAGTATTCTCTTTGAATCGAATCATGCTTAATAATTTTTTAGGACCAATGTAAATTAGTTCATTCATGGATACCTTGGTATTTAAAAATATATTTCAGTGGAGCGCCAAAGTGTCCATTTGGATGCAGCAAACGATTGCAACGTTTGAAGAGTGGTGTTACTGATAATGTTCTACGACTTCTTCATGTCATGATATGCCACTTGCCAGATGAGGACGCAGTAACATGGGTCAAGAATTGGATGAAGTTAGTGTCATTAGTAGTTTCACAGTGATAAGCTTACTGCCTATTATTCCTACATCATGTTGCTGTTTAACAGAAAGCACGAATCTGTCATGGAGACTGAACCCGTGTTCAAATTTGACGTGCAAGAATCGCTAAATGCTTCTGTAGAATCTGGCCAGTGTCAAATAATGTGCACGTTTTGCAGGTTTGTATTCTTTTTTTGAATTCCAATTGTCGTTTAATGTGTACTACGGTATGAATCATTTCAGCTCCTTGGTCGAAGGGCATAAGTACTTTGCACATCGGAGACGTGGGAGCGTCTGCTACGATCATAATGACACAATGTAAGGGTCTTGCATATAACTTCCAGATTTCGCATCGACATTGAATTTGTCTGCCGGTCGACTGTTGCTTTCGAATTTCTCCATCATTGTCCCATTTTAATGTGGGGTCGTTAGGAAGATCAAAAGAACAGTCGATTAAGTAACTTATGGGCTCACTCTCAGTCAATTTTATTATCCGTGTGACCCGTTCCCAAAGAGATATGGAGGTTATAGTCAACATGTGTGTGTAACATAAATTTATCTTGAATTCAGGTCCACAAAAGCAGAGTCTTCGATTGAGAAAAGTAAAGAACGGCCAGGTCGAAAACGACGTTTTGGAATGTTAGAACCAGGCAGAATACCGGGCTCATCCAAAATTCGAAAGAATCCATGTACAGTTTGCAAGTGAGTGACGATTCTGATCCTTTAAGGCAATAGAATGATTTAAGAGGTGACATACTATCTTATCATGAAAATTCTGTCCAAATTCAGTTCTTATGATATCAGTGCAGATTACAGGGTTGAAGATACTACTATTAGTTGGTTAACATTCCGTCAATTACATCGAATGAAAAGGAAATACAAAAGAAAGCTCGTTAAATGTGCATTCATTCAAGATTCGGGAGAACAATGTCTGAAAACTTGGTTTCAATAGGGTGACCAGCAGAAGCTTGCTGCTAGCCTGTCGTCTTGTTTTTTCACTATTCAAGCGGGTGTCAGTGATCTGTCCAAGTCGCGAAGCCTAGGGAAATCTCCTCACACGAGACAAGTACTAACTCGTCGTCCATACAAAGATTTGTGTAGTCAGCCCATCAAAACCATGTCGTATTAGGGTACTCGATGTCCCGAAAAATGCAGTTTAAAGCCGCTCCGCTTTAGTGTTCATCGTGGAATCGCCTGACGTGTTTGTTGTTATGGTTAGAAACCTTTTTCGTTTGGTAAATGCGGTAAAGCTCATCTTCAATCGCTTATTGATCTCGGACTCCCTTAGCACTAGCATGTCTCTGGGAACACTAATCCATCGTTTTTACTTTGGATGAGGATGGAACTAGAACTGTGCTCTACGCCATTTCGACTGCGCAGAGAACAGCTCTCTTCTTTGGAGCCAAAAATCGATGAGATGGTGTGCGGAGCCGAATGTTTTCTTTTGCGCTCAATTTTATGAGTATTCTTGAAAACCTGCAGTTATTTCAACATCTGTTGACAGTGAGATGTCGGTATTCCCATTTAACCTGGAATTCAATAAAGTATCGTCATCGTACTTATTTGTTCCCGTTTTCAGTCTATTTCCTTTACCGGTATGTGTTCTCTATCGAGGACATGCTCCAGGATGGATTCTTGGTGTGCTTCCTGCACGCGATAATGAAAACATCGGCTCGAAGTGAGCGGGCAATAAGTTAAAAAGGAAAAATTAGCTAAAAATGCTGAAGTGAAAGACTCATTCAGTTGTTTGATCCGGCCGTGCTAAGGCAATAGGAGCCGTAGATAAGAGCACAACGAATGAGAGGGCGCCAGATATCAGTATGCTGCAGGCCACAACAATTGAAGCGGTTGAAGCTATATTTTGCAAAAGGTTTTCGGGCGATTTCATTGCGCGGTTGTGAAATATCTGTGATTGTCCTCCAGATGTCCATTCTATAGAGCGAAGGGAATCTTTCACCTAACTTTTGCCTGGATTGCGCCTTTGAGTCAGTTTGAAGAATGAACGAATATCTCTATTTAGGCTGTGCTCAAAGAACATCATTATCACCGAGAAGTACTCGGAAAGAGTTTCGACATTCCTGCATGTTTTGAACATTCATATTAATGACCAGGAGGCTCAAACTGCTCTCGTTGCGGGGTGCGTCTTTTTATAGATTCTTTTCATGATTTATTGAAAGTGTCTCTGATGCGTACTTTCGCGAAGTCCTAATATAGGAAACCCTTTGTTTGAGTCCTACTCTGAGGTGTGTTTTGGTTTCTGATAATTTTGTTACTGTTCTCGATTCAGGTATTCTTCTACATGCGCTGAAGAATTCCCCTTTATTGATGTCAAAGCATCCGTCGAAGGTACTGCCAGTACCGGTGAGTAAGCGCGTCCGTGTTTAGCTTTCGTTTCCATTATCCACGGACCTAGGCGGAAATGTGCCCTGCTTAAGAATTGAAACGTCTTCAGACCAACAATAAGGCTGGTGTCAGTGTTCGCGATCCATCGCACGATTCGTGCGAATCACGCGACGGATCACGGTTCCTGAACCTTTAATCATTGTTAATTTCAGTGTTTAGTATTTGTCTATATTTGCTTTGAACGTGGAACTTACCTTTATATGTATATGTGTTACAGGGAAACCTGTGCTCCAGTGCGTCATTTGCGGCTTCAAAACTGACACATCGAGGCGGATTGCAATGCACGCCCGTCATCACGAAGACTTGATGAGAGATCTTGGGTGAGACTTTTTCAGAGAGGTTTGGGATGAGGTTGTGCTTAACGCATTGTTTATAAATTAGTAGGAAATTCTTCTGTAACTACCTTGTCTGTTATCGTAATAAGCAAATACTTTAGAAATTATCCGGAACCTTGCGCATGTGGTGAGAAAATTCGCATCTGTAGTGAAGTGAAGGAGTCCTATCAACGATTGTGTCACATTCTTGAGAAGCACGTTGCCGATGAGGATCGCCTTCGAGAAGCAGTTTCCTCATAGTACGTTAATCACTTGTTATATGTTTCTCGCCTTTTCGTTTTTGCGAGATTCAGGAAGTGTTTTGTGTAACGCTGTGTCGGTAAATGGCCGCACTCACCTATTAGCACATCTCTCATTACAGTGAGTCGGATCACTCTCCCGATACGATGATTCTGGATAGACTGCGAAGTGTTGAATTGACTCGTTACAAGTGTCTCACTTATGCTTGCTCTGGATGCGATTTCACATCTTCGAACAGCAACGCTCTCATACATCATTCCAAAATACACGCGACGTAAGTTGATGTCATCAGTGCTTTGTCAGCGTTGTGGTATCATTATTCGGGAGGTGGCTTTGAAGGGCGAACATTATATATTTGGTACCCCTCACCATGCGCACGGTGGGGACCAAATCCTGCATCATACGCCGTTCAGACTGACCGTGCCCTTCGTCTCTGAGGTTGATCAATGGTATCAGACTTGTTTGGGAAGATGAAAATATTGCCTTGTACATAGAAATGCCCCCTCCCCCTTTCACGTCACGCAAGGACAAGTCTCATCTATATTGCTGTTATGGTCCTGAATGGAACTAGAATGCGCATCTTAAATAGGAATTGCTGAGCGAGTGCTTTATTCTTCAATGTTGGGAAGCTTTTTTCATTTGGGGATAACAACCACAGTGTCTTATCCTATTCATTTTGATTGGAGACCGCCAATGCGAAAAGCTTTTTAAATGGTTTTATACCGAGCTTATTTTGTTTGTTTTGCTCATGTCGAAACCTGCTCAAAGTTTGAGAAGCTTTAATGAGCTTTAACACTCTAACTTTAACATGAGCTTCAACTCGAGTGCGCATGTGTTGCTTTCCGCTTATTTGCCTCATGCATAAAATTCAATAACATTTCTGTTCCCGTTGAATGGGCATAATGCTGCTAGAATTTGTGAAAGTAGCTTTCCAGGAAATAGACCATTGAGGCATTCTTTTCATGTAAGAATAGAACAGTTACCGGTGCTCTAGCTAAAAAGCGTGCGAAAAGGGCGTTAGGTGATTGCCCATGCTTAGGCATCACCATTAGTGGTCCTGTGTGGTCTACCCATCTTTCGCTACGCAACGGCCGTGTATCTGCGCCTCTTACGGCGTGTTCTCCCTCTTTTCTGGGTGCATTGTTTCTCCGTTGTACCACGACCGATCTTACAGAAACTGCGAGCCCGTAATTTTAGTGTTTTCGATGGTTCCTTGGCGTTCTCTTTCACTTTCAGTACTTTCGCATCTCTGCCTTTATATTGAGCCCGCTATATCGTGAACCTCTATCGAAACATTACTGGTGGCCCTTTTTCCCATAGATTCATCCATTTTTTTCCGAGACCCATCAAGGCCTTCCTATCAGGGCTGGGCCAGTTTTAAATTTTAAGAACTATTGCTGCTGTTTGTGAAGTAACTAAAGTCATCCTCATTGTGTATTATGGGTCAAGGAAGAGTGCTTCGCAAGGTCTGAAGGTGTAATGTCCAGGCTGTGGTGTTTCTCTTTGCTACATTTTCGCTCCTTCGTTGTCGGTTTGTAAAGGGGTAACCAGTATGGAAGACTGTATACATTTGGAAGGTGAAGAGAGTGTCACAGAAAGCTTGTTAGAAGACTTAATTGCGTCAGACTGAAGTGTTGCTGTCCTAATAGGTTACGTCTTGTACCTGGAACGTAGTTCCATATAATTTTTATTAATTGCTTCGTTTTTTGTTTTGATTGAAATAACTTATTTTGTTATTTGTTTAATTGGTGTGAGATTTTGTACCGCAACACTTGAAATGTTAAGTAGTATTACTATTTCCAGAGGCTCCAATGAGAACAGTGCGGTTAAGCAAGAATTGCCTCGTAAAACGTGAGTATGATTTCTCATTTTCGGTATCCAAGGGTGAGAATAATTGTTTTGTCAACTACATGGTTTTTAGTGAGTCACCAAATCGTGTGCACGATATGCAATCGATTATTGCTCCGATCTTCACGCTATTCAATTCGGGTGACCATTTTGGCGCATTTTGTGAAGTTTCACCGTAATTCACCGATAGGACGTTGAGAAGTATCTTGCAGTAAATGCGTTCCAGTAAGACTTTCTTGCTGTCGTTAAAATATTGAACTTTCTTCGTTATTTCGAAGCTCTACTAAGACTGACAACAATATTGTGACCTTTACTGGAACTTATCCTTTATTACTCTTCTTTTTAAAGGGTTCTATAATGAAGATTTATCCTTGAGAAATATGAAGAGAGAGCTCTCTTGTCTAGAATTCTTACGCCAGGTGCAAAAGAAGAGTAACCTGAGTACCCACGTGAATGGATAGATTCATTATGAAGATTAGTGGTGTGTTTCTAGAATTGGTTCATGTTCTAATACGGCAATGTTTTCGGTGATAACTCGAGACTATTCGTTGGTGTCACATTAAAATCTCCTTAAAACTGATTTATTAGTTGGCGTGGAATGGTGCCCCGGTAGTGTAACTTGTAGCGCACCTGCTCGGAAGCAAGAGGTGCGGGTTCGAGTCCCGTCCGGGGCGAAAGTTTTGTTCACAACCCAGTATTCTTGTGAAACTAATTTATTGTTTTACAGTGGATCGTGGGATGTAGCTCATGAGTTTCCATATATCGATGCTGTTACATCTATCAGGAAAGGAAAGCTACAGTGTGCCTTATGCGAAGCAGCGTTTAGCGATACATGCCCACTACTGAAGCATGCCACTTCCGTACATGAAAGGTAGGTTACACCTTGTTTCTGTTTTTTTTTTCTGATTTATACTGGTTCATTTTCTTGGAAGACGACTTGCTTTTGAAATTCCCTAGCAATTTTGTTTGTAACTTGTATTATCGTTTAAAAATAGCCGCTGAAGCGACCGCAGCTGATCGATCTCCTTATCAAAATTTTGCACCTGTCGTTGCCAGATAAATTTACCTCTGCTGGCAGTGTTGCATAATTATTCAGCTGTTTCATCAAAGTTATTTTAAGCCACAAGACACGAATGTCAACTCGTAGAAGTGCAGCGGCTGAGAAAGCTTCGAATGGAGACATGGCTTTACATGAGCAGCGTCATCCAGTTGGGAGCAGGTCATCTTAGGCACATCTTAGAGTTTCTTGTGCCCAATCGAGTCTTATGATTGTTACTTTAGCTCTGAAACTAAGGTGAATATCGAGGAAATAATTGCAAGATGTCGGGATCTTGAACAAAGAACTAACGACGATAAAGACAATGGAACACCCAAGGTTTCACGAGATTCATCAGTTGGGGACGAGTCTTCAAGAAGTTCGAGCAGGAATTCCCATCGTGATTGTAAGTATAGTTCACTAACAGTGTACGCAAATGTGTTTCATGACCTCATTTTCAATTTTTATTTTTTGTAATTCCGATTTGTTTCTTTCTGTACTTCGACGCTTTGCGCTCGATACCTGTGCATGTCGCCGTAACCTGGAAGTTCAGGCCAATCGAGATTATTTATGTTTGCTGGAGTGAGGGAGATCTGCCATTTTCCGCTTATTCGCTAGGAGAAAGTCCGATGAAGCGCGCACAGAAACGTACGATTCTGACCTTACGCATTACTTGATGTCATGCGACCCATTTTTCACGGTAAAAAAAGAAGAAGTGGAAAAACGCGTCTGCTCTGCTGCGAAATTCGGGATTTTGAAAAAAAAAAAACTATCAATATTAAGATTCCCGCTGTTGAACTGCCACAAATGCTGGTAATGAGGATGCTTTTAGATGTTTTTTGGGACGTAGCCACTTGATAGTTTTCTTGGCATCGTCACTATGACAAGACATTTTACTTTTCTTTGGCATCCCAATTATCGGTAACTTCAGCCCGGGTTTTGCTTCAATCATGTTGAAAGATACTGAAGCATAAAACCTTCATGAGATATCTTGAATAGAGTTTCAAGACGAGCAATCTTTTATGATACATCTGATTTGAGAAATCATCATATTCTTTTGTCATTATAGTTAACATAAACTATATCCATTATTGCCAAAGCTGTCTCAATCATTACCACCCAAAATCTCAAAATTTTAATTTTCGCCGAACTTCGCCCATAAGGGTTATTCGATGCCCTGATCACGAAAATGACATTCATTTTTGGCGTTGGCGCCAGGGCTATTTTCACCAAATTCGCTCTAAACTTGTATACAGGGGTTATTTGGGGTCCTGATCACGAATACGACATTGGTTTCTAGCATTTGCAGTATTCAACGCAGATTTTCCGTTTTCCTGGGCCCTCCCACTTGTACATATTACCTCAGACTAAGCTTAGGAGGAGGGAGGACTCCTGGGTGGGTGAACCAGGCAACGTGTGGCAAAAGTTGAAGCGTATAAGATCACAGGATGGGTGATTCACTCACTTCGGAGCACTCTTCTCCCCAAAGGCTTAGTCCTGATCGCGAGCTAATCAGTGAGAGGGCGCAGACGAGCCGAAAATAGGCGCCAAATGGCGCAGGCGGCAAAATGAATGTTATATTCGTATCAGGACCCCAAATAACCCCTATGTGCAAGTTTACAGCGAATTTGGTGAAAATAGCCCTGGCGCCAAATGGCGCCAACGCCAAAAATGAATGTCATTTTCGTGATCAGGGCATCGAATAACCCCTATAGCGAAGTTTCGACGAAAATTAAAATTTTGAGATTTTGGGGTTGTAATAGTTGAATAGTGCCTCCATTATTAAAATTCCAGCTGCTGCTAATGACCGCGGGCCACTATCATCGGACAACGAGGAGGATGTTCAAAGCGAAAGCTGTGCTAAGGTACTAAAATTCAATCAACAATTGAAAGTAACCAGGTAGATTAAGGCATTTGTGGTGATGTGCGCATCTGGAGATGTTGAGCTAAGCTTTACTTTGATACTCTGTAGCAGAGTAGTCTGAAATAATTCTATCAACAGGTAGAGTGCCCACTACGGCCGGAAAGTGGTGTACGTGACAAGTGGCCGCGTCTTAACCAACGCCGAAGGTCCAGGTTCAATCCCTGGGTCGTATTGCGCCCGGGCCAACCAAGCTTTCCATCCCTCCGGGGTCGGTTAATTGGTACCAGACTTGTCTGGGAGGATAAAAACACTGACTTGTACATCGGCTGGCCCCCAAGTTATAGGCCACATCGCATTCAAACGCCACTACGAATGTACAAATGGAAGTAGAATGCGTGCCGCATCCCAAAAAGGGATTGATCAACGGCAAATGCTTTATCCTTTATCCTTTATGCCCACTATATGAGTTGATAGAATTATGATATCAATTCCGTCGAACGTTATGTATTCGCCTCTGTGGAGAACTTGCAACCAATTTTGGGCAAACTAGCCACATTTGTGTTTGATTGACAAAGTCTCCTGTCCATCAAGCGCCTATATCTACAACTGAACCTGCTACAACATGATAATGTAGTGTAATGAACATTTGGTCGTGTATTAGAGAGTTTCTGGCCCATGATTTTTCATTTTTGCGCGAGTAGTGTCTAAATTTGTAGGAACTGCTCCCAAACTCTTCGATAGGCATAAACAAGCGACAAGCGTTGATGATTAACGGTGTTCATTTCTTCCGAACCATATTGCCAAAGAGGATGAATGTGGTTAGAGCCAAGTGCGGCACTAGCAGTCCGAAGATCAATCTGGTCGTTGTACCCGTCTGAAGGCTTAACATATCCTTCGCTCCCTCCGGATAATTAAAAAACACTGTCATATACATTGGCTGTCCTCGCGCAAGTTACTATTACCATTGGCCAATCGCATTTCAATTCCCCCACTGACTACGATTTGGGTTGGAAGTACATAGAATGCATGACGCATCCACGAAACGCGATTGATCAACTTTGAGCTCCTTTGTCCTCTCCTTGCTGAAGAAACAAAAAAACCGTGTATGGCTCTCACCCTTCCTGTCGACCACTTGGCAAAGACTGTATTTACTGCGTTACTGGCTCATCAGTGCACGAATCACCTCTCCTCTTTCTCATTCGGAGAGCTTCATGCGATCAGCCTGCATTACAGGACAGAGAAACATTCATAGCTCGCAAAGATTAAATTTTCTTGATTTGCAGTCAAATCCACTAAAAGCACCAAATCGCTCACATCCGTGTGCAAATCATGATGAAAGCCGGATCTGTCTGTTGACCACCCTCATTTCTGTAAGAACCTAACTCAAGTGCTCAGTTTATCACCTGTATCACCTGTCGTCCCGTTGATCATCGAATTGCTCGAGCGGGCGCCAGCAACGTCTCCATTCGTCCCTGTCGCGTGCAAGAGTTGTCCAGTGGACCCTCCTCGCTCGAGGGACACGATGTCCTTCATTCCTTTCGTTCAGAGCTTTCGTGAAGAAGTCTGACCATCGGGCCGGCGGTCGTCCAGGTGTTCGTTTGACGTCCCGAGTCTCGGTTACCGCCTCTGGTCCCGAACGTCGCGCAAAATCATGCAATGACGTCCGCCCACCTCAATCTTGATTCCTTGGTCGAAATACGCAGGCGTCCCTCGGTCTTTGATCGTTTGGCGTAGTTCGTGTTGAGTTCCCTCTGCGCTGCGCGTTAAGGGTTACTTACAAACTAAGCATCGTCCTCTCGACAGCGCGTTGGATAACGCTGACCGCATGCTCGTCCTGCCTGCGCAGAGAGGCGTAGGTTAGGGCAGGAAGGACAGCGGAATCGAAGAGGTGGGCACGGAGCCGGATGTTCTTCGTCTTCTTCACTACTCCCTCGATGTTCTTATACGCTCCCCAAGCCGCTCGTTTCCTCCTGCTCAGCTCTGGAGCTAGATCGTTCATCATATTGATTTCCCGACCTAGGTACACGTAGCTGGAGCATTCGGTGATGTTCGTTCCGTTGAGCGTGAATGGGGCATCAGGAACCAATCCGTTTCTCATAAACATCGTCTTCGTTAGGTTCAGCTGCAGATTAGATGTTGAAAATCAGTTGTGTAGGCTAGAAGCAGCATCAGGTTCAGATTGAATTGCGACTGGTCAGAGGTGAGCAATTACACAAGACGAAAAATGGTTGCAGTTAACGAGAAGGGCGGGTGATTGAATCGTCAAAGGCGTTAGCGTG